ATAAATCACAGCGCATACAGAGAAGCGACTGGGTACGAGTCTGATCTAAGACAGTTCTTGGACTCTTGATTCCACGCTGTGGATTCCGTATTCCAGGTGGTTGATTCCAGTCTTTGCAGTCAGTGAAACTGGGATTCTGGATTCCGGATTCTGAATTTCAATCGTAAGTGGGATTTCGGATTCCCTTACATGGGACTACAGTTCCCATCCGTCAGAGGCGATCAATACCTTTAAAAAGTTGTTCATTTGGCATTTCAAAACTCTAGTAAAATGGTTTGCTCTGATCAACATCTCTTCCATTCTGAATGTTTCTGTGCGTAATAATTTTCTGGTTTGAATCCACCTTTAACCATCTTATGTTAAAATTTCACGTGCATGCATTACATCATTTTGCATTTTTCGTGTAAATCATGATTTAATTTCCCGCTAAGTATAGCTTAACTTAATGTTCAATGGTCAGATATTACTTTTAACCGACACCATTCACCGAGACAAAAATCATCAAAACTGTCTTAATTTCGATCTTTAAACTAATGTTAATCGTGCGGAAGAGGAATTATAGAGAACCAGTATGATAGAGTGGGAAATTGGAGAGAATTATGAGGAAACACCGTAAATAAGGTCGCTCCCTTCCGATCTACAAGTTAACAACATTTTCCTTCAGTTTCAAAAGCGTCCAACCAGCAGTTATTTGCGAAATAAAAAGCTTACTAGTAAGTCGGTTTCTGGGGAAACATTATGGAAGTCTCTCTGTCTTTTTTGACGATGATTATGAAGAAAAAAGAGATAATGAGATGATGACGTCACTTCCTGTGTGAACACTTTTTATCATCTTCATCATCAACATGATCATCATCAGGAGCCCATCATCATTGTAACAGCAACAAGAACAAAATGCTCATGATCATTGTTTTCACCCAGTTTTATTATTTATTCACTTGATTTACTCAAACTCATAAACGTGGCGAGTAAGGTCCCGTGCAAACGGACGCAACATTTTTGGCCAACAACTCCCAGAATTGTTGGATGTTTACATGTTGCGTCCGTTTGCACACCTTGTTGCATGTTGTTGGATGTTGTTGCGTGTTGTTACGCAAAGTTTGAAACCGGTCAAACTTTTCAGCCAACAACTCCCAACATTTTTTTTGTTCCGTGATCGCCGAAGTGTAGTGCAACAATGTTAGATCCGTTTGCACAGCTCTTCCAACATTGTTGGGGCCACGCACGGTCATTACGCTTGGTTTACAAAGACTTATGGGTTTTATCCTTCCCACGATGCACCGCAGGTCTCAACATTGTTGGCGCAACAATGTTGGGAGTTGTTGCGTCCGTTTGCACGCAGCCTAAGAACTAACAGCCTATAAGGCTTTAACAGAGGCCTTCTATTATCTCACACCTTAGCTTTACAGCGATGGCAGACTCACCTTTTTACGATGCCTTTTATAATTTTCGTAGTTCCACATCTTACTCAATAATTTACTTGACGGCGGAAAGCCGCCATTTCTGTAGTTGTAAAGTGACGTCATTGTTCCATGAAATCAGGAGAGGTGATGGCCTTAAGCAAGCTGCAAAAAAAGAATGATGACTTTTTAAATAAGTAGGAATAAAGATCTACTGAAATTGTCATAATACACAATCAATGCTTCAGTTATCCAGCCGGTAATTCAGGTTTGATTCTTCAAGTCTGGCAATAGAGAATTTCCTAGTGGATCCTCCAGCTTTTAGCAAAAAAGTTATAAACGATAGGGTGACTTCCGTCCACAATTAGCTGGACTGTAGAAATGGATTCGACTCCTGCTTGAGCTTCATCAAGTCAATAGTTAAAAGAATGGTTTAATTTTTATTGACAATTACAGCGTAAGCAAGGCTACTCTTCGAAGGGCGCAAATAATGGTGTAAAACTGAGAAAATGAGTTCTTCTGCTTAAATTATAAGCCCCTCATGGCCCCAAATCGGAAAAAGTGAAAAAACCCCCAAGTATTAAAAGTCCCTTTTTAGATGAGACCCTTGGGTTCATATTTTGGGAACGTACTATGTTCGTATCCAAAACCCTGACGCAAGTTTTCAAAAGTTACATTTCTATGTACTCTACTCCATAAAAGAATTTTTTTATACAGTTGCAGACACTGTTGTTGAAAAGTCAGTTATTGTGCTACCGTTCGTGGTTTCGCGCAATACAGTAAAAAACTGCGACTAAGAACCTGGATCGAATTTTTCCTCTTTCTTTTCTTCTTTTTCTTCTTATATAAATGGTAATTAGCACAAGTTTGGGCTATTAATAAGTTCGTATATAAATAGGTTCTTATTATCTAAAGAAATTAATGCAATATAGCTAAGAGTGTTTAGTGGTTCAGCTCATTCCTCATTTAAAATTACATACCAAAAAATATAAATCTTATTGCTCATATAATTTTTATACCTGTATTTAATTTGTAATTGTACCAATAACAATTTTATTTGATTTAAACATTGGCATTTACATTGCGGTTGGAGTGATAAGGCACCTATGTCTCCAAAGAGGATTCTTAATGTTGACTTAAATATCTTATTTGCCCAAGTGTACAGAATTTTTTCATAGATTTTAGAAGATAAGTACCTGTTTCAAATTTTAGGCTAAACAGCTTATTATATAGAGGAGGCTTAACTGGCAAATTTTAGCCTAACAGGTACATAAAATCCAGGTTCTTAGTTGCGGAGTTTTACTGTATTCCATATCTATGATCAGGGTAATGCTATTATGCAGCTTATGGTTCCTATCAACCATTAATCAAATGCCAATTTCCCCTCTTTAATATAGGCTCCCATAGAGCGTTTTCACATGACGTCACGGCGGCCATATTGGTGTTCCAAAACAATAGAACGGCGGCCATGTTGGTGTTTTAAACCAGTCCTGTGGGAGTTGATCTCTTTTCTTATGTAAACACTCTCTTTTGTTTTAATAAATTTGCGTAGATGCTGGTCATGTGAGTGAAAACGCTCTATAAGAAAGCATTTGGAATATAGAAGCCCCGAGGCTTATTTTCGGAATCAGCCATTCCATGCTTCCAACTGGGTAACCGTGTTGATGCGGCTACTGATATAACTCGAATCAATTACAGTCGTACTAGTTATGAACTAACTGTTTTTTTTTCTTTTCGCTAGATCGTTGCCGGTACTAATAAAAGCCTTTTCAATTTAAGTAAGATAGAAATAAAAGGAGACTGGACTAGACTTTGATAGATTGTGCTAATAGCAGAAGGCTCGCATTCTAAAATTATGCCAATAATTATGCTAGTTTTATGCTTACTAACTTTTGTGGTGAATACAAGTACGATGTAGCTTTCTGGGGTGTTTATTTTTAGAGAATGGGCGAGAAAACTTAAAATTGAATGTCGTCCTCGTCCTCTTCCCGAATCTAATGAAAGCAACTAACGGCCAAACCAAAAACTTGCACATACGTGCGTGCTTTTGATTGACAAATTCCCTAAATATATAGTTCTTCAGCACAATTTGCGATATCCGAAAAAATAAACAATGGAAACTGGCATCCGCAATTCAAACATAAGATTCAACAGTTGATCACTGTAATCTAAAGTTGACGTGACTTGACGTCAAATGATGTAGGTATTTCGTCATGTTTCCAGATGGTCGCCATCTTTGATTGCCTTAACGTTAGAAAATTGACATATTGATAAGGGTTTCAAACTCATGATGCTGGGTTAGACCTGCATAGAGCGAAAAAAGAACTGTGTACAAAATTAAACTATGAATAAGTTTTAAACTGCAGAGACACATGTCAAATACATCCAGCCAGGTGAGAGTCCACTGCGGACAGATCCTGGACTCCTGCCACACGTACAATTTAAGCATATGGGTTCTTCCATAGACATAATTATATGGTATAGTTGACTTGTGCAGCAAAGTCTGATAAATTAACTGAACTTAAAAATGTAGAAAGAATGATTCAAACGTCGTTTTGATTGGCTTAATAGCGGCAGCAAAAGCGTTCAGAGCTGCTCCGGCTAGGGAATCCTTGACCAACTTTTTTTTAATACCACTGGATTCAAGAATGACACGAGACTTTTCTTGCTACTGACGTAGCAACTAATAATAAAGGCCTACTTCCGATTTGTGTACAACGATAATATCCCTCATGTTTATTCCAGCATTTTCCTTTGTGGATCAAGATGAATTGAGCATTTGACCATGCGCAAAGAAATCGGAAGACTGAAGGTTTGAAACCTCCCTCGACGTTTCAGTGTTTAATAATACATCTAAGCAGTAGCGAGGTCAAGAGGGGTGCACTATCTCTTACCTGCTTGAGATTATTCAACATATACAACTTGAAAAGAATAATAAAAAATAAATAATTGTAAACATGCCCGGATTATCCTGGATAAGAGCCCGGAAAAATTCAGATCATACCCTCAAACGCGTTATAATTTTATATATTACCAAAATCTTGTCTGTTTGTAAATAATACGTGCCGATTGTCTAGTCTTTTTCAGTATACTCTTCTGAAAAACAGACTTCAAGTTAATTAGAATCTTTGTTCAGTAGACGAAAGAGGACGTTAGCCTCTGCTGCCAACTGCAAGTTTCAACTGTAAGTCAGTAGAACGAGTTTCATAAAGATCTAATCGTTCTATATAAGCCCATCTCATAAAATATCAACTCTCGGATGTGTTTTATATCCAGTCTGATTTCCCCATTGCACTTAATTTAGCAGAAAATCAGAGGAATAGTATATGATAAAACAATTGATCATGAAATAGTAGATCCAATAAAACCTAGACCAAATTTATAATAATTATAGTTCGCTCACTTTACTTATCAATGAGTGAGAACAACGAAGCTTTAATAAAGGAGATACATCCTTTCGGTTCGCAGATGAAGTTCACTAAGCGCGTTTATTTTTGTAGTTATTCGCTGGGGGCTTTAATTTTGTAGAATTTTCTTTTAACCACTATATGTCAACAATAAAAGCTGTGTTTTATGATAATTAAGCCTTACCGTTCGGTGTGCGATGTCGATTGAACTCTCCGTCAACTTAAATCTTTCAGACTGGATAAATTAAAAATGAAACCAAAACGTTCATTTGTACCTTCAAAATCGTTGACTTGTCTTTCACATCTCTTTCTCTGGACTTTTCTCTTTCAAACTAAACGGCAATCAAATTCACTAATAACTGCAAAGACGGTGGCTTGGTTTCGATCATGTTACCATGGAAATTATGGTTATTTTGACACATTTTTATTAACTTGACATAGGAAAAAGTAAAGTAAAGAGAATTTTAATAACAAGATAAAGAGACTCACTGTTTAAGATAAAGATGTCAATATCCGTCCTGTCGTATTTAAGAAAAAAAAATTGACCGGTATCATAAACTGCAATACGAAGCTCCGGGGGCTCAGTTGATCCCCCCAGGCATGCTCAAGCGACAAGGTATTTTTCATTCTATTTATAATTATTGTTGTTGTGGTCTTTTATATGTATAAGAAATAATAACAAGACATTAGTATATAATAATCTTTTTCAGCTGTTCCTCACCTTGTATAATTGGTGAGTTTTCTTTTCATTGGTTGGATCATGCGTCTTCGATGAATTTTGCAGAAATTGCCGGGATAGACACTGATTATAAATTGAAATTTTTAGTGGAATATTGAAAACTGTAGCAGTTGAGTTAGAGGTGATGTACCGTATTTCACTGATTCTATTACGTCCAGCGGCTGATGAGAGTACAAAATAGAAGCCAGAATTCAACCCCTAATGTGCCATGACTCAGACGTGCTATTTATGGGCTCCTTTATAACGTAACTCCTTCGTAAATTAAACATATGTTTGCTTACAGTGAAATTATTAGACTTTGTAAGTATTTTGCTTTTTCGCTTAAATTTTTCACCTGCTGATTGAGTCTGGTCAATAGGTAGCTAAGAAAAAGAGATAAATGTTCCGTGATGTATGAAGCGCTACCTTTTCGTCTGTGGTATATATCCTTGCCTCGATGATGAAGCAATTTCGCAGTGTTGATCAACATTTGCCAACATTTATCAACAATGTTTCAATGTTTGAACAAGAGGGAGGATCTAACAATGTCATAATGGACGTCCGGGCAACTAATAATATCAAGTAATCGTCGCTAGAATTTAATTTCAAATAAGCTCTGACCAATCAGAGACATTAGACGAACTCGTAGAACGCGTACCCCGGCAGAGGAGCTTTGATCACTAAAAGTTTACTTAAATTTTGCCCCAGGCTCAATTTCTTTACTGACTCACCAATAACATGCACATTCCATGCAGGCCCCGGTTCTTAAGATTAGGAGGGAAGTTGAAATGACGCAGCTTTGTTAGCCTATGACCCCTTTAATTTATTTTCGCTCACACCTGCTAAGTTGACCAATTTTCATTTAAAAACCGTACGCATGAAGTGGTCATCAGACTGTATTGTGCGCAAGCACGAAAACGACAATCGTTGCTTCCCGGCACTTTTTTTTCAGACTTCTGTTTTCAGTCTTCAGTTTGTTTTCAGTTCAACATGAGTTCTAACTCCGGGGTTTTCAGCGAGGCAGCGAAATATTACGGTCAGTTATAGGTACAAAAAAAAAAAGTCATGTGGGACATGCTTCTCAGAATACTTGAAAGGAGCAGAAAAATAAAGATCAATAAAAATCAATTTGATTAAGGCCTGTTAATCCAGAAATCTCTTTTAATTATTATTTTTTGTTTTGTTACAGCTCAAACTGGGTGCAATTAACATAACAACAGCTGTCAACCAAGAAAGTCATGAAATGCTCTTGTTACTAGAAAAACACTAGAAGAGCACGTCCCGTCTGAGAATCATTCAAACACCACCTCACTGAAGCAGACTGAAGTCAAAACTAAACTATTCCAGGTTTATAGAGTACCGCCCGAGTGAGTGCCCTTCTAATGATTTTTGAAGACAAGAGGTAGACGTAAAGTGCTGTTTTGAAAAAGTTGTCGAAAGTTGAAACAGCAGTTTTAGACTTCGGCTTCACGGTCGGCTTAAGTCTACGTTAACTCGGTGTAAACTAACAAGGATCACTATAAAACTGAATCATTTCTGAACACTATGGCGCAGTCAAGCAACATGCTGGAGAAGAGATGGCAACGGATTGTTTATGAAAAACATCGCAAAAGAGTAAGTAAAGTCAAAAGGAAAGTCAACTGAATTCAAATTAATTCTTGCATAAGTTAAACAGTATTTCCAGTGTAGTGTCTAGTCCTGACAGCGCTCGGTCGATTAAGGTTTTGTTACGTTTTGGTTTTGTACCTTTCTTATTACCATCAATTCGAAAAGCGGTCAATCAGTCACGGAGAAGAGTTTAAAAAATGCACGAATTGTTGAGCATCATCAATTTTTGACAGTAGTGACTTAAGCCCGCGGTTTTAGTTTTTCAATGGAATCTTTGTCAGGCTGATTAATTCCCGACCTCCATTGTTCAATTGTTGATACAGCTTAATGTTCACTGTGTTGCAACGCTTGGTTTTAGATCTGTGGCAGCAAGAAAATGACGATGTATCATCGCGCGAAACAAACTACAACATTCTTTTAAACTAATAAACCTGGTAGCGTGCACGAAATACCAAATTACGCAGCAATTGATAGGGGTGCGTATGACGTACGTCTATGATGAAATGGTTAGACATTTGTTGATCTCCATTTATTCCGGGATTATCCTATTTTCATCAAGTAGAAGTGTAGCCTGCCCATCTGGTAGGAGTGGTACAACGAAGTGCACGGATATAAGTTAAAGTATTTATAAAACTTTAGATGTCAGGAAGACGCCCGGGCGGGGGTAGACGTCAAAATGGCTCGGCGATATAATGCCAAGGAATACTGTCGGCTTCCGATAGTTAACGTGAATGCCGCTGTGAGCCCAGGTCGTACCCAGTCGCTAATTTATTCCTTTTCGATGGAATTGGCGATTCGTGTAAACAAATTAAAATACCTTTCGGTTTCATGGCATTACTGCGAGGCGCACTAGGTGACATGGGAAGGCACGAAGAGAAAGTGGCGTCGCTATTTCTTTTTGCCCAATCCCATGACTCCCTGCACAACTCAATGAAATCCAATTTTTCTCTCTTCTCCACCTCTCATGTAAACAGTGACTAGGCACTTGTCTGCTCGTAAAGCGTGCAGCGGTATTTTAACCACCTACCTCACGCCATTTGTTGACAAAAAGATAAACGTCTCTACCTAAGAGTTTAGAGAATCGACATAAATGGCTACTTTTTTCTTCTAGCTGACCAATTTGGAAAGTTGAAGCATGCAATTGCAAAATAATGCTTAGGGTGCTTAGGGATGAAACCTCGAAGTCAAATACATCAGGGTTACTTGCTCAGCTCACACCAGGGGGTCAGGGGGGGGTACTCCCCTATAAAAGTGTCGAGGGTGCTCGTCGGAAAATTTTGAAAACACCCCTAAAAGGTACCAGAATCTTGCTTTATGGGCGTGTCCAAAACTCATTTCCACCCCTAAGAGGTACCAATTCAATAACAACAAATTTATTTGCATAACAAACACATTTTTCACATCGATATCCCTGGGCGATAACCTTACCGCAGGCCCCTAAAAGGTACCGAGCCAACTCTGGCAGCAGTCATTTTAGGTTTTAGCGCCATAAGTATTTAGTGTTTTAACTTATTCCTTACATAAAATCTTCATACCAATTGGAAGTTTTGAAATTGTATCAATAACAATTTTATTAGATTTAAACATTGGCATTTACATTACAGTTGGACTGATAAGGCACCTAGGTTTCCAAAGAAGATTCTGAACGGTTGACTTATCTAGTTTGCCCAAGTGTACAGAATTTTTTCATAGATTTTAGAAAATAAGAACCTGTTGCAAATTTTTGGCTAAACAGATTCTTACATAGAGGGGGCTTAACTGACCACTTTTAGCACAACAGGTTCTTAAAATCTAGGTCAGTTCTTAGTAGCGGGGATTTACTGTTAGTTTTAATTTACAATTGCTTGATTTAGGATTCTACTACTAGCGAGAGTATAACGACAATATTATATTTTGTTTTTATTACTATAGCTCAGAGAAACTAAATCGAAGTTGAAAGGGGAAACTACTTTAGAATACGATGACGAGGAGGCCCAGTTACAATTGAGGTTCAGGAGAATTATGGTAAGACGGTCAGTATGGTAATGCTTCTTGCTAAACAATGTTTCCACTACTCTCAGAATTTCAAGACGTCCATTCCTCTTGGTAAGAGAAAGGATGCTAGCGATTACGTATCAAACTTTGGGTTGCAATTTTGGTTTAACAATGACGGAGAATTTCGCTCCTTTTGTGGTCTTTTTTATTGTTTAAGTTAGGTGCCCCCATTATACAAGAAAATAAAAGAGTAAAGTTCCAGTAAACACCCTGTCTTGGGAGACGATTGTAAAGAAAAATTTAGAGAAACTGTAACATTACATTGTGCTATCCAACGAACGTTGTGTTTCCATGGTAAAGCGTGTCATATTTCATTGAGATAAGTGAGCAATTGCAAGAAAGAATAATCTAACAGATTATTCTCTCTTAGTATTTTGTACATCCTTGTCATGTTTCCACTTAACGGTAAATGAAATCCCAGACGATAGAAAAAAAAAACGATTCTGACGTTTTACCGCGAGGACACAATGCTTTTTTTTGGTATGGTGGGGATATTGCACTCTTCAGAGCAAAACGTCATACCAAAGCGTTGCGCTGACTCAGCGTTAGACTGTCTTTGAAGGACGGTGCGTGTCTGACTTGATCGCAGCGGACTCGAAAGATGCTTCTCGCTTGGCTGAAAGGCATGAAATAATCGATCAGATTTGACTTAGTTCTTATATACCTTGTAATGCTTACAGAACCGTGCTTTTGTTCCATCTGAATAAAATGTGTTTGCCTCCACCACACAGGCTGAGGAAAAGCGCCAAGCTATAATCGACAAACAAAATAGCAAGTTGTTGCAAAGAATTGTAGACATCATGACGTCAAAGAAAAAAACATTTCCAGTGTCAAGCGATACAGAATTAAACAGAAAGGTAACATATGTCGGTAGTGCAATTTTATCTTTGGTTTGAATTTTTCTTTTCTATTGTTTCAAACTCATTATTCTTTCATTATCATACATTACGCTATCCAAAAACAAAAGAAAACAAAATTTAAACCAATGATCAAACTGAACCACAACACATGTATGAAAAGCTCTCTGAAGGGCTGTGGGGGTGGGAAGAAACAACTTTTCTTTCTTCCTTTTTTTGTTGTTTTCTTCTGTCCTCAAACCCACAAACCCCCCCTCCCCAGAACACCCCAGGCAGCTTAACTGCAGGCTAGTGAGGATACTGAGTAGTTAACTGTGTATAATTATACAACTCTTTTGTTTTGCTAACAAATTGTCATCCGCCATTTGCACTTAGAGTAATACCGTTTCCGCGTACGGGAATGTACCCGTAGCAATGAATACTGGTGGACCCCTCCTTACTCTGGCGAACCACTATGCTACCGAATACAACGATGATGTCACTTAAGTTTCACATCCGGGACATCATTCTCGCCTTTTACGTGGCTAACAAGTTGGCCTACCCGTACCTATGGGAAGAAATTAAGGGTACTGGTGTATTGGGTCCCTTTTATCTGTAGCTGCCGACCGGCCCTGTGTGTTTGGCACAGCCTTGTTGCATGTCACTTTATTACTCGTATACTGACCACTCGAATACTGTTTATTACTCAAGAAGTTACTTTTGCAGTCGCTTCTGATGAATTCAAGAGAGAAAGGGTTAAGGAATATGTACCCAAAAAGAGCTCCACCTATATCTGAGGGGTCTCTGTGTACCGCGTTTGCTCAGCTTCCATCGCAAGCTGCTTCTCCCGGCTGAGGGCGAGAGAACGCCCTTTGTCATGTTCTCTTGCTGGAGGTAAATGCTTTTTCCAGAGCATTTACGTTACTATAGTAACGTGGCATAATGTTTTTTTTTCAGGTCAGCAAGACGTCAGTTACCGACAACTCAAAGCCAAAAGCCAGACACAGTTCCGTTAAACTGCCTACAATCAGTTCAGCAGTCAAAGAAAGAAGAGCTTCAAAGTAAAACTACTTGTACTAGATCGGAGAAGTCAAAAAGAGCGTATTTTTTTAGTCGTTTTATTATATTAAAAGTGTATGAATTTTAAAAAATTGTACCACTGTTTTCTCCCAGGCTGAGTTAAAAAATACTGAAAGAGGCCCATGAAGCTTTTGTTAAGAACAGTAAACCTAAAACAAGAACGCTCTTGAAAAAGCCAGTCGCTTGCTCGGAGATTAGATAAGAAATGTGGAGGCGATTAATTCTGCACGAAATAGGATTTCTTCGCTACAAGTTTTTGACTTCCTACTTTATCGACGGTCGAGTATTCTTCATGATATTTACTTTTTATATCGTATCCGACGATGATTGAGTAAGCGTGCATAAATACAGGAGAATCAATTCAAGAGAAATTACATCATTGCCAGAGACCAAAAACGTGCCGTGAGCATGGCGAGTCATTTCAATCATCGCCAAAAATAAACCGCATGCTCATCGCGAGACTCATTGCAAACAATGAAAGTGTACAACAGTTTATAGCCTCGCCATCGACGTTTTTACCGAAGTATTCACTTGCTCCAAGGTAATATCAACGCTTTCAAGCGAAGGAAGTCTTGGACCGACCCGCGTTACAGTGCATAGTGTTCTTTGTAGAACTATGCAATGGTGACTGGAACATTAAATAGATTCCCCGATTACCATTTTGTTTTTAATTTGGAATACCAATTCGCCCCTTGTAAGGGAATCCCGATTCCAGAATCAGGGAAATTCTTGCTTATAGAGTCCGGAATCCTGGGCTCTGGAACCTCCAATCCAGTACCTGGAATCCGGAATCCACGGCGTGAAATCCAGAATCCAAGACTGTCTTGGATCCATATGCATTTACATGGGGCGAAAAGATACCCCTAGCTATACAATCAGGCATTCCCTTACGGTAAATTCACACCTTAAGACACCGTAGGCACTCTATAGCCTGCATAGTAAGCGTTTCCGATTGAGTTATTGCACGAAAGTCATTTGAAGCTGATTCTACATTTTATAATTATTGTTTCTTTATTGTCGAACTAAAATAGTTGATTACGACATGAAATTCGTTAGAGTTCAGTGAATATATCGGGAGCTTAAGCAACGACGACGACGACGGAAGTGAGACGTCGCTAAAAAAAAATGAATCAGCTTAGATCCTTTTAAACCTCATCACGTCTTTTTAGACCGTTTCAAATAGTTAAAAGTGGGCGATTTTTCCTGGATTCATTTCTTAAAGGACTGTATTCAGGTTCAAAAAGAAAAAGAAGATCTAGAATTCTTCCTCGTGTGTTCACGTCCTCCATGATAAGTAGCATCAGGAAGTTTCACGTCGTAGTCGTGCAATGAACGTCAAAGAAATGTACTAAAAAGGGCTGCACGTGCAGAGCCGCCGTTGTTTTGCTCATAAAACCAATTGCTTTTTGGCATTTTCTTTGTCGTCGTCGTCGTGGTGGTTGATTAAGCTCCCTAACGACAACAAGGAAGCCACCTTATATCATACTTAGAAAAACAATCTTCACCCTCTCCACCCGTCACCGCGATAACTGCATTTAATACACATCTGACATGTCGCGGTTAAAGATAATTTCACAGGAACACACTTTGAACTAGCTGTCCCCTGCTCAGACGCTTCGTTTTTCGCACAGGTCAGACAAATGTCAGAGGCGAGATGGAAACGCGAGTAACTGGTGACGAAGCGCAACGGACCATGGGAAAGAGAAAAATCAGAGACGCCCGTTTTCTCCTTCCCGTCTTCCTTTGCGCCCAAATGTTCATCGAGACATAGAGACGTCTGGGTACGAGGCAGCCTTTGAAAATGTTGCAGAGATCGTTGTTAGTTCATAAGGATTTTTCCTATTGTCGAAAAGCAGGAGTCGGCTCCTGCGAAAAGATACAATTTTACACCTTTCTTCAGTCAACTCGGAGTTTGTCGCATGATGTTTGCTGTAAAAATCATTTCCAAGTGCAGTAGGTGGCGGCGGGATTAATCAATGCTTGTCAGCTAAGTTTTCATTGCATTTTTTATTTATGTCACGTCCACTCGTTGTCAAAGTAGTCACTTAAGTCTCTCTGGCAATTTATCAGCTATGGGGGGTGGAAATGGAATCACGTATCATGAATCGAGAAGAATCATATAGTTTTCAAAGAAACTTTGAGAATCTATGAGTCTTTGTAAAACTACGGAATCTTCTTAGTAATCACGAATCCTAGTGACAAAAACTATTTAAAAAAATGTCTAGCAAGCATAAACCTTTGAAGGAAAACAATGATAGGAAACCGAATCATAAATATCCAAATCAAAATTATTCCGATTCCAACTACGATATTGATCTAAATTAAGCTCTCCCCTATACTAATTGATCTGGCCATTATCCAACAGACAAGCTGAAATAAAAAGGGAGAACAATATTGAGTATATTTACATGAAGGAAATTATTTCTTTAGAAGTTCTCTATTTTCACGGATATTTAAGCTGATTTAAATAAATATATATTTGTAAATTAGCTTTTCTTCTTCAGTTTATCATAACTCGAGGTCGTGTATTTAGATAAACTTACCTTGTTACTATTTTTAAAACTCGTTTAAGTCACAAAAGACTTGGCCAAATGTGTGATATTCCCCGATAGAAATGGTACTGCCAACAGTGATATAGAGAGCCCGCCTGTTCTTAATTAATAGCCTATGGCTGCGGTCGATCATTCGGCTAATGAGTTTTTACTTTCCTGTATACTAACTTTCAAAGGTTACCAGTTTGAAAGTGCGAAATTTTTTTGAATAGCCAACCTTTAACTACAAAATCTGTAGAGGAAAACCGTGACTCTAAGTTTTTAAGTTACTGAGATTTTAACGTAGAGCTAGTCAAAAGCCTCTTGTTACGGCTGTTGATTAGGCAATAAATGGTTGTCATAGTGACACCGAGAAAGGAACACTCTTTTTCCCAAAAGTCTAAAACGAAATGAAACATACACCCACTGCAGGTGCTAGAGCAATTAAGGCCTTTTATTTTACCTAATTACCGGTTATAATCGCTGGTTTGCCTTGTCGGGTTCAAAGTACTCTGACCTGAACACTACAGCCTCTTACATAACAATAAAGTTGTTTTTGTCTTTGAATAAGTAAGATCTCCGTTTTTTTATAACTTGCCTCTTTCAGAACCCAGTGGGAAAATTTCCTTGATCCACAGTATGCTTCGACTTATTTGCATAAAAAGGCATATCTATATTTATTTCAGTGGTCATTAGTAAAAACGTCAATTGCCATAAGAAATAAGCTTGTCACATTCAACAGCAAATTTATAGACTCAGTGTGTTTTCTTAAAGGCAGGTGGCTATGCTATTTAACGAACACTGCCCGATTCATTTCTAGTGGTTTCTCATATACCGCCTTGAGTTTTCAGTTCGGTTTTTGCCACACAAAAATAGTGGTCCTAGCTAGGTCAATTTCTGTAAAAACTTAAAGATGTCGAACTCTAGCAGAAACGATGAAACAAATCAAACAAGAGACACTTTTTCAACCCCTCCTCCTCCTCAAAGCTGGGTCGAGCCGTCTCCAAACTGGTTAGAAGCCATCAAAGAGTGGAAATGGTTATGGGAAGCTCACATTTATGGGTTTGGAATCGTTTTCGCCCTGATCGCATTCTTTGCTATCATCTACCTTGTTGTTTGCTACAAATTCATCTTTACAAAGCACAGAATGCATATAGCAGTAATGAACCTTGCTCTAATCGCGGCGGGATCTCTTCGGTCCGTCATCTTATTTTGGGATCCCTATGCTTCAAGTGTAAACACTTCAAACGGCCAGCTTCTTGCGTGTATCATTTCATGGGGAATATCGAGTGCGTGCATAACTTCAAGTTTCAGTATAGTGCTCCTAATTTTCTTAGAAACAACAAAGACATCAATTGGCCCCGCTCGCCTTAAAAATTTGCCTTTTCTGATATCAGTAACTCTAGTAAATATACTCTTCTTGCTAGTGTCGGATGTATTGGTATGGTTCCACCCTGAAACCAAATGGATGGTCTTTATCTGCCATTTTACATTCGCCGTCTGGGGATTAGTTGTCTCTATTGGCTACTTAGTCGCTGGATTTCGAATGTGGCGAAATTTAAGGTCTTCGTTGGGTGAAACGTTCTACAATCGAGCTCTCGATCGAGACCTCTTAAAACTGAAACGTTTGTTCCTTCTTATGTGCGCGGCGTCCTGCTTTGGAATGATCAAGTTTTCATTGTCGCTCTACACCGCTGTTGGCGAATATGGCGTTTTTGCCGACATTGGATTCGTGAAAAGTTGGCCTTGGTTCGTGGTTCAGTCTTTACTAAGAATTCTGGAATCATTCATGTGCATCTTTATTTTCCTCATTGCTTTTAAAAGTGGGAAAAATAATGCCAGAGCAACTCGTACTTCTCCAGACACTAATCAGCAGACAGAAATAGCGAGAGCTCGGCACTCAGTAACACTGAATACTCAGTGAATACTCAAATGATCTGTACTCCAGATTCCCGAACCCCAGACATGAGTGACTCTAAAGTTAGTAGTACCGTTGATTTGCAAAACAGTTTTCAGCGCCTATAAAAAGTAATTACAAAAAAATAATCTTGTTTGAAATCTTAGTTCAAGAACTGAACCGAGTTACTGGTGTTTTATTTGTATTTAGGTAGTTTCTGTTTTGGAAAAGCTGTGTGCTCGGTTTTTCTACTACTGTAAGCAACACTGATCCGTACGATGACAAGCACTGTAATGAACGCCTTATAACGAGACACATATAAATATATCGTACCATCCTTAATGATTGCCCTACTATACTGATGTCAAAGAAAGATGAAGTATTTAATCAGCTTCATTTATTTGGTCAATAAATAATGTAGATGGCAAAATTTAACAGTTGTAAAATAAAAGCATTAACTAAAAGCTAGTATGAAATGAACTGAATATCTACTGTTGTGGTTGATTTATGCCACTTGATTTGGGTTGCATTTTTATCGTTAGATCAGTATATGGCGCGGGAAACTTTTTCTCCATCAGTAAGTGTTTATTGACAACAAAGAAAGCTAAAATCGAATGGCCGAGAAGTAAGAGAAAGTCGTATTGTATTCAGTGCCGGTTTGCTGCAGATGAACTTTAAGATCCTGATAATTTAAAAAACGGTACCCTTCAGTGAGAACTTTAATAGATAAGTTTCAAAATGAGAAGAAAAACTGCTTAGTTATAAGCCGTCTATACAATTATGAAATCTAGGGCTATCTAATTACTATCCTTATAAAATTCCAAATTCTGATTCTTTAACAACAGGGTGACGCAGTATTTACAATTCAAAAGTATTAGCATAGGTCTTTTATCGTCCAGAAGAGCATATGGCCGAATCCTGCCTACGCAGGATCAGTATAAATTTTAATATTGAAAGGTTTTTTCCTTCCCGTTTATATTGATCAAATCTTTAGTTTTCCGGCCGCCGGACCCGGACAGGAATACTGTATAATAATGACGCACAGTATTTAGGTTCGTGCACTTAATGAAGCTATTTGAATTCATCATTTATTTAACAAGATTGCAGACTTTTTAAAATTGAGGTTTATGAGGTTAATAATTCAGGTTGATGGATCAGTTTTTTTTCGTTTATATTTGCGCGGTTTCCTCTGTGACTAAAGAACGAAACATCCACTGATTACCGAAAAGAAGAGAGCACTTAAAGACAAGCCTTTTTACTACCTATGTAGCTTCTCAAAGTGGAAAGAGAAGAGTTTAATACACAATTGAAATTATCTCACCGATATTACCATTTCAAAAAAAAATGTGCATACAAGGCAGACTGAAGCTATGTTCACTTTATTCTATGTTTTCACTCACGTGGCCTGCATCTATGTAAATTTATTGAAACAAAGGAAAGCGTTTACATAAGAAAAGAGTTCAACTCCGACAGGACTGGTTTGGGACACAAACATGGCCGCCGTTTCTGATTGTTTTGGGACAGAAATATGGCCGCCATGACGTCATGTAAAAACACACAATACCCGATAGCTTTTCGTGGTGCCACCAAAACCTAGCTGCTATAGTGTGAACACCTATCCGGTTTGCAACTCTCCGCTTTAGAGATCAGAGGCGCAAACCAAAAATTTGTAGGCCCGGGCCTACAGGTCTATGGGCTGGCTACGCCCCTGGAAAGTGTCAAGGTGTTTTTGCCCCGGTCTTAGTACCCAGCAGACTTCCCGGGTTAGTTTTCAGAGTGAATTGTGAACAACAGTTCTTCTAACAGAAGAACGCAACACCAGAAATAAACACAAGTGTAAAGGTTTTCTGCACGTAGAAGTGGTCCATGAGAGTACAGGGGGGGATAACACGTAAGGGAATCCAAGACAGTCTTGGATTCTGGATCTGTAAAATCCGGATTTCAGGTACTAGATTCCAGTCTCTGTTAGTGGAAGTTAGATTTTGGATTCCAAACGTTAGGGGGATTCTGGATTCCTTGAGCTGTATTCCGGATTCCAAAGCTTAGGATTCTGGATTCCATGGGCAAAAATTTCGCGCATTCCGGATTCCACAAGCAAAAATTTCCCGGTTTCCGGAATCCAAATTCTCAGTTACATGGGCGAGATTAGTAAAGAATAAAGGGGCAAAAATAAAACTCTTTCATTCTTAAGTATTTTCGCGGCCAAAACATCAGAGGGGAAAAATTTGTCGAATCTTAAAATTTCATGCTTCTGCTAGAGGCAGAAACTGTCTTGTTCAACGGATCTAGAAATTTTACACCTGACTTTATAAAATTAAATTTGCAAGGCCGATTTGCAACGAAATAATCGAAACCAAATTAAAGCAATGGAAAGCGTCATAAAACAATCTGGTCAAAGCGCAGGAAGCCCAGGCTCACAACCTCCTCTGTGGGAATTTACCGTGAGTTCAAAAAACGGTTTAAATTTGTTACCAACTTACTGTTTCCTGCTTTAAGAAAGTCATTTTAGCAAGTTTCTTGGTCTTAGGGAAAACAACACAGAGACATCTCTTTATGGCGCATGTACACTTTTATGTCTTTTTAGACAGCTATTTCGAAAACGGTTGTCGGAAAACGTGGACGCGACAATCTCGAAAGGTATTGTGGGTAGTTTTGAGATCACTGTTCTTCATAGAAATTTTGAAAGAATGGCACGAGAGGCCATGGACTAGGACTATGTTTCCGAGTGCTAAAGCGAAGCAGCAAAAGTAGGTTCGACAGCTACAGTGTCAGAAATATCCCATATTACCTTTCGGGATTGTCGCGTGCACTCCCACGGCCACTTTCAGTGTAAAACAGAGTGAGATCTGGGTACGAGATTATTTTTTTCCGACAACCTTTCGAAATAGCTGTATGCATTTTAACCATTTATTGACCTTACGATGAATTCCCATACAAATTCTTCTACTGTGGCTTCGACAGGCTTCGACGGCTGTTATGACCTGGAATTCCTGTGGTCAAAGGGATCCGAGCCCACATTCTTGCCCAAGCGGTCTTATGTTAAGATCCCAGTCTCCACTCATTTGCCCAACTTCGACGCCATCATTGATTTTTGTTACTCCTGTGTCTCGGAAACAGCTGAGGAGCACAGAAGTTATTTCAGGTGTTATGAACATCAGAGGTCGTTCAGACAATGGCCCTGGTTTCGTGGGCATCAAATTCTGTCAAGAGTGGTAAGATGAGTGTAAAAGTGATAATGTTTGAAAGATAATAAGCTTTTACAGGATGTTGCAGAGATCGATGATCGATCAATGCCTCATCAAAATAAGATGCTCGCATTGAAGAAGAGTTTTATTCAAAATTGGTATATTTTCAAGAACATCTTAATGCAGTTTGTGCTTTAACAGAAGGAAGAAAAAAAGCACCTTGTTTCAGTGAATGGGCTTGAACTTGATTAAGTTTGCGCTGTATTTTTTCTCCTCAGCAACAACATGTTGTATCCATCTGAAAGGAAAGGACAAAGAAAAAAACAAAAGTTTTTTATTGTATGCTCCTCAGCAACAACATGTTGTATCCCTCAGAACAAAATTTTATTTTCATTTTCAGTTTTATACACTTGTATATAAATTAAATTGCAGTACATACTTTATTTTGTTCCAACTTGAGGACAATAGAAAAGCTTTTATACAGTCCACACTATCTTTCTGTTTCACATTTTGGGATTCAGTGTGGTTAAATGAAATACACAATAGGTGCGGTTACACTGGACACTTTTACTGCGAAAAAATTGGTGTGGTGCTTGTGACCAGACCTTTCCAAGATAAATTTACCATGGAAAATATCCATGGTTAAATCAAAAAGAAGAAAGAAATCGCCCATGACATTTAACATGGTAAATAACTAGGGTTTTTCGATACCCAAGGTAAGAGAGCCAATCAGGTTTCTTCGTTCGACACTAACAGGAAACTGCAAAAATATAATTGCTTTTTTCAACGGGTTTCTTTCATGAGATTTAGAGGGAAATCAATTTTGACATAGCAGATTTCGCATTAAGATCAAAGTAATAGGGAAATTTTAAGATAAATTTTGAACTGGTTTGTTGGGCTAGATTTAGGAAAGATAGTTATTTCCCAAAAATACACTCTATTACTGGCATGTAATCAAAAAGTGGAATGCAGCTGAACTGTAAAATGAAATCTTTGGTCAAGATTTAAAGAAAGAAAAATGCTATTTACCTTATTACTTGCTAAATTATCAGGACTAACATCAGGGCTGTCAATAAGGGCTGGTAGCCAGCCAAAACCCACCGGCTAGTTAGCCATCCTTAGATGGCTACTTTCATTTCCTTCTACCACTGCTAACAAAAAATAAGCACCATGGAATAAAATTGTAAAGCATCCATTTCCCAGTTTTGAATGACACTGAATGCATATTTAAACAGGTTTAGATCTGAGAAATTTTCAAACTCTGCGATGTCGTGGAACACATGGGACATTTTGACCGCATTGTTCCCAGTCTTGCAAGTATTCTGACAAAACAGCAAGGTGTCCACGGTGGGAAATACATCTTGAAAATCTCTGGAAATGCCATTTCCGAGACCCTAAATTTCAAAATGTCCCTAGATGCCTCGGCCCTCAAGAACTTGTACAGCTTACCTTTGGTGCGAGTTCCAAAGCTGCCTACTATTTATCAGCATCTGTTGATTGTAGTTTCTTACCACCACTAACGTCATTACTGACCAAATTTGAAAGAAACTGATACACATTGTACAAAAAATTTGACAAGTGCACAGCTGATTTTCATCTCTCTCAGTATTTCTCTTTAAGTAGAAAGGTTATCTCAATAAGGTATGAGATGTAAATTGGCTGTTTTGTTGTCTTGACACATTGTCCTGACAAAGTTAATAAGTTCTATTTCTCATGTATATAAAAAAAAGACACTCGTTTTGATCTCATTGCGTACAGTATTCAAGAGGTATTAATTTTATACTGATGCACTTACAGATTGTACTTATTACATGTATGTCCTGAAGTGATATCTATGTTATTTTTTTAGTGTCGGAACTGTGATTATCAACAAGAAGCAGATAACTGCTGCATCTATGTAAACAAAATCACTCATGAAGTCAAGTAAGTATACATACTGTACATTGAATAACCAGTAATTGAGTTCAGACAACAGGCCCCATCTAATTTTGTAAATAACCCAGTTGATACTGTGATGTACTGAATCAAATCCCCTTAATAGGGCTGACATATCATGCTACATTAGTAGCAGTTACACAGGACACTTTTCCCGTGTTATGAATGACTATTTTACTGTGGGAAATTGGCGTGGTGCTTGTGACTGGACTTGTCTGAGATGAATTTACCACAGGAAATACCCATGGTTATGTCAGAGAGAAGAAAGAAACCGCCCGTGACATTTAATTCCGGTGGTAAATAGTTAGGGTTTTTCGATACCCAAGGCAAGGGAGCCAATCTGGTTTTTTCAATTGACACCAACATGAAAAACCACAAAGATGTTTAATGGGTGTCTTTCCCGTTGTTCAAAGAAACATCGATGATGACATGGCAGATTTTATGTTGCAGATGAAAGTAACAGGAAAATTCAAGGGCAAAATTTTGAGCTAGTTCGTTGGGCTGGATTTAGGGGCGATATTTCCCAAAAATATGTTCTATTTCTAGCATGTAATTGAACAGTGGGATGCAGCTGAACTGTAAAATGGAATCTTAGGTCAAGATTGAAAAAAATTCTGTGTACTTTTGCTCAGGACTAACATACTAGTTGAAATTTCAGCTAAATTCATACGAAAATTTTCTACTTAACATGAAATACTGCCATGATCGACGGCGACTATTACTGCAATATCACGATTGAAGCCATAAAAGCGCCTAAATTACATGTACCTTGAGAATTAATTTACGTGTTTATGTTACCACGGCAAACTAAACCCAAATTGAATTTACCGCAGCTTTTTGTACCGTGGTAAGTGCCTTTTATCTTGGTGTGTGTAGACCCCGCACCCTATTGTACATGTACATGTTGTTTCATGCTGACTGGCATGATAAATTTTCCAGTTTCGAATTCATTGCGGCTTCTAAATAGAAGCATTGAAGACTCATTTATACAGGTTTAGCCTTGACCTAAGGTAAATATTGGTATATTCACAAATTCCAGTCAGAAGAAGACCTGTTTACAACTGTGTCTATTGTTTACTTAAATTCAGGCACCTTCTCGCCAATATTTATGAATATTTTACATTAAGTCGAGGCTAACCATGTACAAATGACTCTTTGGCACTTTTATTCTGCCAGCGGCCACAAAAAATTTGAAACTGGACTATTAGCATAACTGTAGCTTGACTTGATTTCAGATTTTAAATTGAATTCAGTCAAATGTTCATAAAACTAAAAAGCCCCCTTTTTGTTACATAGCATTTACCTGACATTTATAGTTTTTATATTAAGTTTGGCATGGCATTAGTATGATTAGCCTGTGAAAACAGCCAACATTTTGCAATGCTACCGGTGTTTTTCCTGAAAAAAATGGCATCATACCCAGATCTGGGTAGTGCTGATTGGGTGAAGCACATTTCCAACCAATCAGAAGCTCTACCCAGATGTGGGTAGTGCACATCATCAGTATGGAATTTCTGTGCTCGTTTCGCAGACATCATTTTTCGGGGAAACCACCAGTGGCATTGCGAAACATTGGCTGTTTTTCTCAGGCTATAGTTTGACATTTGTGTTGTCCTGCTGCTGTACATGTGTGGAATAACTGAGCTTGCTTGGAACACATCACCCACATGACTTGGTTTTGAATGTCATGTTTCAAAAACCTATTGTCATGTCACACTCTTTTGAACAAGTCTAGGAGGCTTAATGCCTCTCATACCCTATCAAGGGAGTTGTTTTCCTTTGTTTATCACTATCCACTTAAAGAAAGAATCATGTGGAGCCTGTAAAAAAAACTGATTGATGAATGTTTTACCTTATAATCAATGCAGAAATTAAGGGATTGGAAGCACTCTTGGGAAAATAACAGTCAAATCCTGAAATGGGCCTACTATGCCTGGAGTATTTCACATATCCCCAATTTATTACAACAAATTTGCATGTACAGTGTTGTAGGATGCAATTACCATTAACAGTAAAACAGTTTTTTTGACATTTAATTATTATTTTTTAAATTTTATTTTCATGAACAGTGAACTGACCCAGATTGTTACGGATGTGACTGCTGACCCAACATTACCCAGAACAGATCAACATGAATGCCCAAAGTATGCTGTTGCTCTCATAAAAATTAGATAATGATAATAATAAAATTATAATAATTAATATTATTTTCATTATTATTAATTATTATTATATAGGTTTTATTATTATTATTATTATTATTATTGTCTCTATTATCACAGTCTTTGCTGGTGTTCTTTTTGTGCATCTGCCGGGCGCAAACCATGCACCTAGAGCGTCAGTCACTCAAGTCAATCATTCTGTTCATACACTGAGCACCTTTCTGAGGATTCGTGCAGACCCCAGCATGCAGATCTTTTGAATCTCTGTCATATTAGCTCTTTCTGATACTTTCTTGATGTTTTCTACCATACCCTTCTTCACTGTACCAAGCGCACCAACAACCACAGGGATCACTACGGTTTTCATATGCCACATTCTCTGTATTTCTAGTTCTAGGTCTTTGTACTAGCATTTTTTTTCAGTTTCCTTCAGTGCGATGTTTCTATCTGATGGAACAGTCATATCAATAAGTTTGCAGGTGGAATTCACTGAATCTTTAACGATGATATCTGGTCTGTTCGCTGTTATAGTTCTATCAGTATTGACTGGCATGTCCCACATGATGGTGATGTTGTTATCTTTATTGTGTATCACGGTCTCTGGTTCGTGTTCGTACCATTTGTCTGTAATCTCTATATCATGATCTTTACATATGCTCCAATGGAGATATTATTATTATTATTATTATTATTATTATTATTATTATATATACTGATGTTGGGAAAACACACAAAAAAAATTATTATTATTATTATTATTATTATTATTATATAGGTTTGCTCTCTTCTCAACTTTCTCAATGAACCTGTGCAAAAATGTTTGCTATGCAGGCTACTTTTGAACAGGCTTGTTTATCATTTTATTTTTGATTCATTTACATATGGCTTTTGTAGTGTTTGTTTACAGTTAGGTGATTTCTATGTTGTAGTTAATTTTTTATTTCAGATATTTAATTTTGGTTTTTCCTTCGTTTCAAATTCATTTGCTTACATTACCATACCCAAAAACAATGGAAAAATAAAAATTACCTGATATAAAAAAATTAACTACAACATCTATCTTGCTATTTTGGTTAAGGTGTGGCCACCGGGAAGCAGTGTTTTTCCAGTCCCAGTCCAGCAAAGCAGATGTAAGTGTTCTCTAACCTATACAGATAAAGATGTACAGTGATTCTGAGTTCCTAAACCCATATAGCCTGCTCCAGGCGTTCAGATATTATATATACTGATGTTGGGAAAACACACACAAAAAAACTTGTAACAATTTTGTTTGCTGTTATTTTCCTTAGTCGACACCATAGCTTTTAATAGTAGAAGAGACCTGGTTTTAAAAGGTAGCAAACACCAAAGATAATAACAATACTGCTGCAGTTTGTGCTGGGGCTCCCTGAAGGTGCTCCGTCCTTTGTTTCTTGTTCAAAAATTGTGACAGAGCACGTTAATGCGACGTTATACTGTTAAGGGTGAAAGTCGTTACGAGAATAAAGAATAATCCAGCCTGAGAAAACAGCCGACATTTGGTGACGCAACCACTGGGAAACCAGTGGTGGCAAAATGTTGGCTGTCATCTCAGGCTAAGAGTACATGTAACTTTACTTTTAATTTTTCTTGTCAAATGCTTTAACAAGCAACTGACCATCCAGTCTCTCGAAAGTAATATCAAGTTAGTAATACCTAAGAAAAAGAATAGAAAAATATTTAAAAGTATTATTTTATATCATTCACACCCACTCTGTTTTTGTTTTGGCAGCAAATGAGATTGTACTATGTTTGTACAGCAGTGAACTGTGGTAACAGATGGACTGAATAAGCAGTCAAAGTTAAAGTGAAAGAAAATATTTATTGACTTCTTTTTGAGCGTCTCATGTTTGTGGAAGAAGACGAAGGACGTTGCCGTGCTCGCTTTGCATCACCAGAAAGATGTTCTTCATGAGACTATTTCACTAATGTACACCGTAAAGCTCCGCATTTCGTTTGTATTTTAATTAAAGACCGTAAACTTTTTCTATGAAACAAAGCTTCTTGTTTTATATCCAGTCTAGTGTTTCATTTCATGTAGTTTACGTTAAAGCTTGGTCGAACGATCCAAATAATTGTAGGATTCTCTAGTGATTTCCCTTCCTAAGTGTTACACGTGTAAAAGGGGTTACTTCACAACTTATTACAGATTCACACTGGCCCTTGAACCTGCTTTAATAATAACATGAAAATGTTTATTTGAAGCATTGTATCGAAAACGAAGCTCAGGAAGCTAATCAGAAGGAGTTTAAAGAATTAAATGCCTTCGTCTTTCGCTTGGACTTACGTTTGTGCTGCGTCATTGTTTTTCACGCGAAATAAAAAACTGCAAAACGACAAGAAAACAAGTCGGTTTCCTTCGTCCTGGGTTTGGAACAAACAAGGGAGACGTTCCCTTGCGAATACAGCACTTTTAGAGCAACTGAAAAAAAAAGCAAAACATAACAACAGCAACCGGAAGAAAAAATAAAACTTTCAAAAAGCTTCTTGATTTAGTGTTATCCCCAGCACTTCAAATATTCATATTATTCACACGTGCGAACAAAATAGTTGTTGGCTTGGTGCTGTAGTCATGGAGACGATTTCTTCGTAGAACGATCGCCGTATTTCCTCCATTAAACGCCCGTGCATTTTTCAAGTTTCCAAAATAGAAGGCGCCTATTCAAATAAGGCCCTTTAATCGCTGGGATGGGGGCGCCAATTAACCTCTTAAACCGTCATATATCAGTTTGATATTTTTCACACTATTCTCTGTACTTTTCCTATGGTAATAATAGGAAGAATTTGCATGTGTAACAATGAAAAGCTCTTTGCGGATCATTTTTCTTTTATTTCTTAACTTTTATGTAGCAGCGTTACTTCAAGTCAGTGTCAGCGTCGGAAAGGTGTACTTTTTTCCTCAACGGACTGAAACGTTTTTTAGTTTAATCTTCAAATGGAAAAAATGTTTCCTGCTAGCAGAGGTATCTCACGGCGAGAGAAGAAGGAGAGAAAAGAGAGAGAGCTCGGCCGGCTTCCAATCGCGATGCGTTCTATCATGTAGCTGCCGACCAAATTTGTGCCTGAAACTTAACTCGTTTTCAAAACCGGTTTTGTTTAATGCGGAATGCGCGTGCCCTGTATAGACTGCACGCTGTAAATTTCTGAGCCCACTGTTGTTATCGCGCTAACCGGTTTTGTAAGTTGTGTCGCACGTGGCTAAAATGTTACTGTCTTCCAGGAAACGCCAGTGCATGCGTCATAGAAAACACATCAGAGGCCGGCAGAGGGTCTCTTTCTTTCCTATGATCTTATTTCTTGCTGTGAGAGACCAGTCTGCTAACAGGGGAGCACGCACAAGGAGATTAAGAGTACATGACTTCACAATGAAGACACTCTTATCCTGTGCTGATGTCGGAGTATTCTAAATTTAAAGATTATTCTAAAACTGACAAAATACAAAGTCTTTTCTTATGATCGAGAAGAAAAATCGATAAGGAAAGAGACGGAGAGAGAGGTTTGAGGGAAGTGCTTATTTGGTAGTTTGGCGAAGTGCGTTTGCTCTTATTAGCGCGTGGGGCGATTGTTCAAAGATATACGTAACACATCGCCAGGGGCGTTTTCCTGAGTCTTATTGAGTAGCTTTTATTGCCCTGGTTACTAAAATGCTCTGCAGAGTGCCATTTCTTATTGTAATTTAAATTTAACGTAAATATTATTCTTCAGATTTGTAATCCACTACTTGCTTTAATCTCATTTCAACTCCACGTGCATTGCGTTTCGACGTCAAATTGAGTAGCACTTGAAGACGGAGATACGTCTAGAAGTAAATCATTATTTTGTTTACCTCCACGTTTATCAAATAAATGTTAATTTCCCTTGCAAATATCTGTACAGTAATGTTTCAAATGTATCAAAATCAAATTAAACAAACGAACTGGCACCAATTTTCTTTCACTGAGGCTGAGCGCAATTTTAGCGACCAAAATTTCAACAGAATGCGTTTATTTAAGGTGTAAAAATTTGTTTCAACTGAAAGTGTGAGTCAGTGTAAATTTAACCAACAAACAATTATTTAATTTGTTTATAAAGTCTTAACAGTCTTTTCTATGTTAACTTTCGCTTGTTACGAGGCAGGCATTGGGTTTTTGAATTAACACAACTTTGTTATGGTGTACCTTGATTAGCTTTCGTAAGAAAAGGAGAGGGGCGGCGGTATGCTTTCCAACTTTCCGTTTGAACTGTTTTTGTAGTTGCCTTGAAAACGAAAATTAGTGATTTTAAAGAGATGAAAAAGTGACGATTACAACTAGATCTTCGTGAGTGTGTCGTGTGACTCCGCTCTTTTCTTCTTTCCTTTCTTTTCTTTATCCTTTGTCTTTTCCGACTTAAGTTTTTAAATGGATGAAAAATCGATCGACGTCTTGCGGTGAGTTGGTGCCCCGTTGGGACTCATTGAAACTTATTCCCTTGGCCATTTAATTCGTCTTATTGAGGCGAAAACCACTGTTTTGCTTCGTAATTGTCAGTGAAGAGAGGGACATGTCTTTCAGCCAGCAGCTCGTAAGACTTATCTACGAATCTGTAACCCATCATGCGCATAACATCTCGGCAGTAGTGTTCAATAATCTCGAGATCGTGTGGATGTACCAACCATCGCCAGCGATTGGCCGCGATCCAGGCATCGTCTTTGGTGCATGTCGCTTGCTCCCCGTCCATTTCATTACAGTTCCTCCTATTTTGCCTTGTTGTCTCGTTTAGCCATGTGCGCACGTTTTCCAGCATCGGCAGCCCAGCAAAATCATAAAGTCCCGACAAGGCTTTCAGTGGGTCGAACGCCAGGTCCTCGTATCTTTGAAGTCTGATTCTGTTACGTAGCGATTGCGGTAGTTTCCTTATGATATCTAAGTTGTCTTCAGTTTCCTTACATCGCCAGTAACTATACTGGCGAAGTCCTCGCTTTGCAACGTCGCCTTTGTTCGTAAAAAAGCCAAAACTTCGAGAAGAAGGGATCACGGCTCTGGGATCCCTCATAAGAAAGAGAATTTTGCAATCTACGTCTGAGGAGCTGCAGGCATTCAAAATAGTCTCGATAGTGTTCTTAGGGATGCGAGAGATGAGAATTTTAAGGACAGTCAAGTCGTAATTGTCTCTACACGTTCCTCCTAAAGACTCGCTTGTCATCGGCGGGCATAGTCTTGGGTCCCATTCAGGATCTGTTGGGTAGTAAGGGCATAGGGGCGGTGATGCAATGGCATTGCTTACACGAGGGTGCTTCTGCTTTCGGTAGTAAGTCTCAAGATCTTCTAGAACATTTGGCTGATCAAATTTACAGCGAAGTAGACCATTAAGATACTTGTCTGCGAGACGTCCATATTCATTGGATTCCGTATAACCCACAACTTTGCCGAAGAACCTTTCGTGAATTCTCTCTACAGTTTGTAAAGGTTCGTACATGTAAAAAACTGAAGGATGGTGATTGAAAATATCTCCCATAAGAGAAGAACCAGAACGGCCATGAGACACAACGATCAAATTCTTCTTCGCTGCATTTGAAACTTTATATTCAATATTGTGCTCTGGACCAGCTTGAAATACCCTTTGGTCATATTTGTGCGATGCTTGAATTTCTGCTTTATCCTGTGCTGTGGCTCCAAGAAGATAGGCACCTGTCCAAGAAACAGCTAAGAGGAACAGTAAAAAAGGCAGTTTTTTCAAGAAACGCTTTGCTCTTAGTCGCCGTATTGTCATGCTAGAGGTTTTATAACTTTAAGATAAATAGTATAAGAACTAAAACCGACAAAACATTCGTAGTGTTGTGTTGTAGAAGTAATTGAAATGCTAATTGCCTGTTTCTGTGGTAAACCTATTCTCACTTGAAAGCACGCGATTTAGAGTTTCCTTTGACTACTTTCAAACTAACTATAAGGCAAATTAAACGAGGATTTAGCTGATCATCATGAAGGAGAAAAATCGTTTGCTTTATAATTAGCAGTAGTTGATGAATGAGGCTGAGTAGGATGTGAAGAATTTTGCGCATCTGGGAAGGAGAATGTTATCCACTGAGGCTGAAGTGCGAGGCTAGTGGATAACATCCTCCGAGATCTGCATAATTCTTTACATCAGACGAAAGCCGGTATCAATAATTGTACTATGGGTCTTCTATTATTCATTAAATTTTTTTTTAAGTTCTTAACAAGCTTACCTCCTCGTAGACTTTCTTCGACTCTCTGGCCTATTTTTCAGCACGGTTTTACGGTGTAAACACAGGTTTATTTCTTGCAGATACTCAGCGAAAAAAGTAAATAATATACCGTTGATCAACCTCGTTTCCAAGTCAATATACTATGAAATTGATGGTATATTGGTCGCATCTTCCAAATTTGGTCAACAACAGTTGGTTATGAAGAATTAGCCAGGAGCTTTGAACCAATCAGATTAAAAACGGTGAAATATTTTGAATAACAATTTCAATTGTTATTCATTCAGAATATTTCGCCGTTTCTGATCGGCTTTAATTTCCCGGTTAATTCTTTACATAACCAACTGGCGTATACCATTTGGAAGATGCGAGCAGGGTATGATGGTATAAATTATGATAATACCATCGATCAACCTCGTTTGCAGGCGCTGCAGCCAAGCTGTTTGTTCCTGTATAAATTAAAGAAAGGCGAAAACGGCGTTCACGGCTATCCGAAGACGAAATAGCTGAATTCCTCACTAACTGAAAGGAAGAAATGCAAGAATATGCAAAATATATCGCTCGTAGCCAGTATAGTTACTTGCGATGTAAGTAAACTGAGGACAACTTGGATATCATAATTAAGGAAAATGCCACAATCACTACGTAACAGAATCAACCTTCAAAGACACGAGGACCCACGGAAAGCCCTTATGATTTTGCTGCGCTTCCTTTGCTGGGCTGCCTGTGCCCTACTAGCCCTCATGTCCGACGCAAAGACACAAAGAACGTATGTGGAGCAGAATAAACTACTTCTGTGGTGCAAGAAGGCCCAGAAGCCAATGACCGAGAAACTCATGTTTTTGGTACTCAATTCAAAGTCAACCCATTCCCATATCTTGCTATCTTTAGAAATATATAAATACATGGCGCTCTCGGTATTACCAATCCGAGCTTACCCGGGGGGTGGTGGTACTCCCTTATATGGCCTATACGGGGATGTGCCGCTGGACAGGGTATGGTTTCGTCAGTCTCTGTCCTAAACAGGGTCTATAATTTCGCACGAGTCTGTCCTTAACATAGCCTGCGCGGAGACGAAATTAAACTCTGGTACTAATCAGAGTTAACAGGGTATACAATTTCGCGCAAGTCTGTCCTAACCAGAAAATTTCGCT